ATGGAGACGTAGCTGGAGGCAGAAGAAAACCAGAGGCGTGAGGTGAGGCAGGAACTGCAGGGAGATCACTCCAACATCACTGGGCCTGGCTCCCCAGGCCAACACTGGGGCAACATGGATATTCAGGGGTGACTCTGGGGAGGATGGGTGTTGTGGTTGGGCAGGCTGGGGGCAGGGACTGCTCCTCCTCTGGACAGGAGGAAAGGGGAAGTTTTTAGGGTCTGGGTGCAGGAGGCCAAGGGATTTCTCAAATGCTGACCATTCTCTTCTGAGCGGGAGAGACAAGCTGATGGGGTAAGAGATTTGAGGGGAACAGGAAATCTGAAATAGTGTCCATGAAGAAGGAAAGAGACCGATTTCAAGATGGTGGATGCATGGAACACAATTTCCATACTGAATAAAAAGCAGACTAATTCATACTTAATAAACAGCAATAACATGGGACAAATAATAAAATACAAACTCTCAGAGGACCAGAGACCTGGAGAATCTCTAAGGGACTGAAAGCAGGCTGGAAGCCACGGCAGTAAAGCAGAGGCTACAGCAAAACTGCTAACATAGAGGTTAAATGCAGGATCCCATTCACCCAGCAGCTACTGCACACCCTCCATGTGCCAGGCACTGTTCTAGGCACTGCTGTCTCCTGTGAAAGAGGAGTGCAAACTGAGAATCAGAAAAAAATGCAGAAAGACTGCCTGGGTTCACTGGGGAGTAGAGACCGTACACTGGCAGAGGGGCGCAGACCCATCTAAACAGTTCATGATTCTTCTTCAGCCACCGAAGTGTGCAAGCAGAGTTGGCTTGACCTAAATTTTGCTTTGCTGAATGGGGACAATGGAAAGGTAACAGGAGAGAGATGTGATGATGTTAGAGAGAAAGCAACTCAGTCAGTTATTTTCGAGCTGGACTTGCCAATCCCACATGTGATCTAATTATTCATAGACTACTTGGTCAGCAGCCATCCTGGAAGACAGAGCCAACCCCTGCCTCATAGTCAACCATATTTTAAAACAGATCTTCTCTGACTCGTATATGCATGGTGAAAGTGAAAGTGTTAGTCGCTCAGTCGTGTCTGACTCTTTGTGACTTCACGGACTGTAGCCCGCCAGACTCCTCTGTCCATGAAATTCTCCAGGCAAGAATACCTAAGTGGGTTGCATTTCCTTCTCCAGGGGATCTTTCCCAAGCAGGGAACAAACCTGGGTCTCCGCATTCCAGGCAGACTCACTGTCTGAGCCGCCAGGGAAGTCCCATGCACAGAGATCTCGTCCAAGTGCAGGTGCTGATTCAGCAGGGTTCTGTGGGGCCCGAGATTCTGCCTTTCTAATCAGCTTCCGGACACAGATGTTGCTGCTGGTTCACATACCGTTCTTGGAAGAGTACGGTTTTGAAACGTTTTGCTTTAGTATGGGGGAGACCTGTTTTGTACTATGGTGCAGCTTACCAGTGGAATGCTGGAGCTGGCTGACTGTTACACTTTCAGGAATTCTTCTCGATGACTGACATCATGTTGACAGCCTGAAACTGGCTGTAATGGGAGCTTCTGTGCTATGGAAATGCCCAAATGCTATAAATCAGGACTTTCCTGCTTCCCTTTGCAGAGCTGGCTGTTAAACACTTACTAGCACTGCTGCTGTTGCTGCTGCTGCTAAGTCGCTTCAGTCGTGTCTGACTCTGTGCGACCCCATAGACGGCAGCCCACCAGGCTCCCCCGTCCCTGGGATTCTCCAGGCAAGAACACTGGTTCTTGGGTTGCCATTTCCTTCTCCAGTGCATGAAAGTGAAAAGTGAAAGTGAAGCCGCTCAGTCGTGCCGACTCTTAGCGACCCCATGGACTACAGCCTACCAGGGTCCTCCATCCATGGGCTTTTCCAGGCAAGAGTACTGGAGTGGGGTGCCACTGCCCTCCCTAACTTACTAGCACATCAATGGCTAAATCTGTATAACAGTGAAACATGGATACAGTGGGTTTTGGCATCAGGGGTCATGAAAGCATGCGCCATTCGCACCTTGATAAAGAGGCCACCTGTCCCAGATGTACACTAAACAAAGAACCTGCTGGAGGCATGACAGGAACTGATCGTCTCTGCCGCCTCGGAGTAACCAACAGAAGTAGACGCCTGGGTCACCCTGTCCTCCACCCAGAGAAGCAGGCTGTGCAAGGAGAGACGGGGACTGGTAGGCTCCTTTGAGCAAAGGGTGACTTGCAGGAAATTCTCAACCACATCACACCGTGCTTCCCTGGCTATCCCCGGGCAGCAGGCTGACTCTGCTGTGGTGTGTCAGCCTGCCTTTTCTAGGACCCACGGCTGCCCTGCTAGGCTGATACTTTATCTGGACTTGCGAAATGTGAAGACCAAATCTCAACAAAGGCAGAGCAGAACAGGTTAACCTTCCACGATATCTGCTTTACTTAGTGACCTTTAAAATCAAGGCAGAGATGGGACTTCCCTGGCAGTCCAGTGGTTAAGACTTTGCCTTCTAATGCAGGGGGTGAGAGGTTCTATTCCTGGTCAGGGAGCTGGGATACTACATATCTCAAGGCCAAAATACCAAAACACAGAAGAGAAGCAGTGTTATAACAAATTCAATAAGGACTTAAAAAATGGTCCACATCAAAAATAAAAGATCTGAAAAAATAAAAAACCAAGGCAGAGTTTTATATATATATGTGTGTGTGTGTGTGTGTGTGTGTGTGTGTGTATACACACACATGCATATACACATGTTTAAGTAAACCAAATGAATCTCATTTGGTGACAGTTTGGGGAGGAAAATGAAATCTCTCAGCTCTCAAAGGGTGTCTCCTATTTTCTGACCTGTGGGTCAGGCAGTTTTAATTTCCTCTCTCCCTCTCTCTCTGTTTTAATTTCATGAACCCGCTTAAGGCCACAAAGACTCCTGAACCCCTCAGCTGTCCAGCAGATGAACCGCTGCCAGCTTCTCTCAGGTTACTAATGCCCTGTGCCAGGCTGAAGCTCCCCAGCCCGGCCTGAGCGCACCTCCCCGTCTGACTGCTGGGTGATACGGCCGGGCTCTCCGGGGCTTCCGGGGAAGCCGGCCGGGAGGCGGGCCGACCCTGAGCCGCTCTGGCCCTGGAAGAGTGGCTCCTGGACGCGTGTCCGCCGCCACTGGCCCCGCTGGTGTGGGCGGGGCTGGATGGGGCCCCAGGGGTGCAGGGGAAAGCTGGGCCGCGAGCGATGTTCACGAAGGGAAAAGCTTTTCTTCCTGTCGGCCAGCTTCCGAGCAAAATGGGGTTAGTAAGTGTTAGTCCCTCAGTTGTGTCCAGCTGTGATTCCATGGACAGTAGCCCACCAGGCCCCTCTGTCCATGGAATTCTCCAGGCAAGGATACTGGAGTGGGTAGCGATTCCCTCCTCCAGGGGATCTTCCTGACCCAGGGATCAAACCCGGGTCTCCTGCACTGCAGGCAGATTCTTTACCATCTGAGGCACCAGGGAAGCCAAATGGGGTTCAAGTCCCCTGATAATGGCTCTGCTCCTCATCTCGGGGTCCAGGTGGGAGAAGAATGGTGTGATGACCTGCCACTCCAAGTTGGAGGGTTTTACAAGGAGGGCTGAGAGGTGGTGTGCCTGTGTGTGGGGGAATCAAGAGGTAGAACACGGTTGGTTGCAGCTCCCCTTTTCAGGGGAGAAGGAGGCATGGAGCAGGGGGAGGGAGGGGTTGGTCCTCAGAGACGGCGGTCTCCCGTGGCTGGATAAGGCACGTCTCCATCTCTAGCCAACTCCTTCTCTTGCATCTGTTCTGTTCGTTTGCCAATTATCACATGAGCACTATGCGCAGGCATGAAGCTAGTGCTGTGGAGATAGAGTTGAGGACAATATGTCTCTATCCTCTTAGGGCAGAAACAGAGGAACTGAATGGGATGGGAAAGAAGAGAGGGAAAACTTAACCAGTAAACCCAAAGATCTAAAAGACCTAGAGGTTCCCCAGGGAATTGGGACGGCGTGATAACGTCAGGCATTCTGAGTTCTGCCAAAAATGCTTTGACTCTCAGTCTTGCTGGTCCTGCTTCCTGCCCCAGGCGTGTCTGTTTCTCCTCCCTGGGATCCTCTCTCCAAGAAGGTGCGTGGAGTGGGGATGGAGCGGTTCACGGTAAAGGACAACAGGCTGGAGAGGACTCAGGCAGGCAAGAGCGGGAAGACCTGCAGCCAGGATCTGAGGATCTGCGCTCCATCCCCTGGTGACCTCAGAACACCGAGAAGATGCCTGTCGGGTGGTCCTCCTCGGACATAAACGCTGAGCTACAGCCGTCACTAACCACACACACGTCTAGGCAGAGCTTTAGAAAAAAGGAGAGGCAGGCTGTACTGTAATTCTGTAGAGGTGGAAGGGTTGTGGCGTTTCCTCAGTGCATACGTGTATGTGTGTGTTTGTGCTTAGAGCTGCTTGCCTGGGACACGGCTCACCCAATCATCTAAGGACGCAAGAAACTGCCCGAGCCCTCAATTGCCGGACTCAGTGGCAGACAACAGCGCCAAGGCCAAAGGCAGCGTAAGAAAAAGCTGTCTGGCGCGGGTGGGGGCGGGGGGCAGGGGGCGGTGGTCACACCAACCCTGCCTGCTTCATCCTTGCCCCCTCGGGGCTCGCAGGGCCCACTGACACTCGCCAATCTATAAAGCCTACAGCAGGACAGAGGAAGGTGCAACCTTAGCATTCGTCAGGGGCTGCTGAAACCTTAGGGGCGCAAGACGGTCCCTTCCCCTGGAGAAGGCTGCCCTTCAGGGCACCGCCTATAGAACACAGTGGTGGAACCACAGCAAGTCTGTAGGCATCAGTCCATGGAGCAGGGGTTGGTTCCATGGGAACTCCCCTCTGCACCAATACCAGAAGCTTCCAGAATGGATGGCAACCAGAGTGTTAACTAGAGAAACATGGGGGGTTAAGACAAACACACGCACCCTCTCCCAGCAGAGAAGCTCCACACCCACAGGCGCTGCTCGCGACCATGTCAGGCCAGGAGTGCAAGGTCACCTTTACCTGCTCCGGGTCCCACCACGTCCCGGCTCGGGGACTCAGCCATGGCGTCGGCCAGCCGCTCCCGCAGGCCCTCCTCGCTGTGCTCCGTGGAGGCCATGTGCCGCAGCCCAAAGCCCTCTGGCCAGCTCCCGCACACCTCCAGCAGGGTCACGCTCCGGTCCAAGGTACCTGCAGCACACGGGGACATCCGACCTGAGTCACCTTGCCGAGGGCAGGCTGTTCTCGGCGCTGGCCCACCGCCACCTCTCCGCCCCCGCCCGGGGCCTGTTTCAGCCCTTCCGGAGGATGGAGAAGGTAACACCATGAAACACGGATGCTCAGGGCAGAGCAAGACAGCTCATGCCACCAGCTCAGGGCATGGAGACCTCCATGGTGTGGGGCTAGTAGTTTTTGAACTGTTTTTTCTTTTTTTCCCTACTGAGTGGCTTTTAAGACCTTTATTCCCTGACCAGGGATTGAACCTGGGCCCTCAGCAGTGAAAACATAAACAGTCCTAACCAAAAAGAGTCCTAACCACTGAACTGCCAGGGAATGCCCTGAACTGTTTTCTGAGGACCTGCAGGGTTCCTCTGAAGTCTTCAGGGAATACTTCAGGCTGGAGGTCAAGGGCAGCGAACTCCCTGCCCAGGTTGAAGCAAAACTCGCCTACTTGACTCTGGTAATGCAACAGGGCTTCCCCTAAAGCTTCATGTTTCAAATGGCTTACCTAGTCCACATTAAAAAAAAAATGTTTTCAAAGCCAGTATAGCCTCTAACCTATACCAAACGTCCTCGTTTTACATCTGAAGCTCAGAAAAGTTACGTCCCAAGATTCAACAGCAGGTTTGTGGGCCAGTTTGGTTCAAGGACTTGGATGGCCTGACAGCTCAGTCTACACCTCATTCTCCTCCACTGCACGGAGTTCCCCAGGATATGAGCATCACGGGGCACCATTTGGGGTGACAGCAGCAGGAGGGCTGGGTGACAGCATTTCTACAAAGATCTTTCCTCCAGCGGAAGCTGCACCCCAGTTCCAAAGAGTACACGGCGCTCTGCTGAATGCCAAGCTTAGACTTTACGTGCAAGATCACTTCAAAGGCTACCTTTAAATGATTTGACTTTATTATACAGCAAATCTTCTGTGAAAGCTTATTTCAGCCACTCTCTCTTGGAAGGAGATTATAGTCATGCTCTGTTACTTCAAGCACATACTCTCTCCCCAGTGATTAGGTAAATGAATCCACCACATTTATTGGGCTTGGTTCCTGCCAGCACCAGGAAGATGGGGAAAAAATGCAAATGCCAATGTTTCCCAAAGTTAAAAGTACACCAACACACACTCTTTTTATCGGGCCTTGCTTCTCCTCTTTGATCAGCCGTCAGAAACTATCTTCCCTCGGCAGTCTGGACTGGGCAGCATCAGCACACACTCTCTGCCAATGACAGGTGGTAATAGAGAGGGTGCGAGCCCCAGCCCCGGCAGGCGGCCCTGCCTCTGATAACGGCCTGAGCATCGAGGTGATAACCATTCGTAAACACTCCGACAGCCGGTGACTCCATACATCAGCAAAGAGGGCCAGATAATCCTGGGCTCTCCTGACCAGACAAAGGCCCTTGGCCAGTCCGCTGGGGTTTCTATGTGTGGCTGGGGTCACTCCTGGCTCCTGCATGTCATCAGCCAAGTTTGGCTTTGATTTATCTCCTGCCTAATTCGAGGGTGGATTCCTGGTGCCGGAGGAATGGGCAGCGTCTATAAATGCATCTCCCCACGAAGGGGCCCACCTGGGGCGGGGGTTGCCGGGGATCAGCTTGCTAGGTGGGACCCTGGAACGGGGACCTGCCCCGTACCCCGTCCTCTCCCCATCGGGCAGGGTCAGGTGATGGGCCTGGGGAGCCGGGCGCTAGGCGGTGGGGCCGGAGTGCTCAGAGTGTCAGCCCTCCAGAGGCCTGGGCTGTGCTCGTCTTGCCCCGGAGCCCACATTCAGTATCAGCGTCAACCACGACTCAAAGGTGCCCAGTCCCCAAGGACACACAGGACTGACGACACCCAGCGGGCTGGCGAGTCCAGCGCCCACTCACTAGGTGGGGAGAGGCAGGCCCCTGCATGTCCCTTTTCCATGTCTGAAGTGGAGCTAACAACACTTTGCCCTGTGTCAAAGGAGGGGAGAGATTAAGTGAGGTTCCTGCCAGCTCTCCTAAAGCACTGCCCCACTCTCAGCTGACAAGATCAAGAGCTACAGCACCAGTGTTCCTCTGAAGGGTCTGCCTGGGACATCTATGCTTAGTAATTTACAGAAGAGGACAGCAATAAGAATACACAGGCACACTCCTCTTCCCTTTGCGCTCAGGGCCGAGGTGGCAGCTGCTGCTGCTTCTTTTTAATGGACAGAGATGTCCCAGAGCCTGGGAAAGGAAAGAGAACCACTGTTCCTTCTCTCATTTGCAAGAGCACGGTGCCTGCCTTGAGAAAGGTGCTCCGTTAAGGTGTGTATGGACTGTGTTCGGAAGTCACGGCAGGTAAGCTGAGAGCAGGACCAGGAGGAATATCAGAAGCCAAATGAAGAAGACAACAAGACAATGCAGCAGGTGTTAGAGCAAAAAGTGTGCAGGACAGAGGCCGTGACAGAGGGTGAAGGCCAGAGGAGTCTGCAATATTTAAAGGGACAAAGTGACAGGATACAGGAGAAAAAGATCAGGAGTTAGTGTTATAGTGGAGAATGGAAGCAGAAATATAGGATCCACACAGATGAGCTGTATGTGTACTGGCTCTGGGCAAGCTGATTATCTTTCTGGGCCTCTGACTCCTCATCCATAAAAGTGGAAAAACAATACAATCTCAGGGGTGTTGCAGGGTGTGTGTTAGATAAATGGCGTATGGTGAGTACTCTGCACATAACTGGTATGCTCGTGTATATATTAATAATAATAAGTTTACACCATGTGAAGCATCATCATAGATGCTGACTATCACGATCCTGAGAGGCAGGACAGGTACGACTCCAGCATACGGAAGAGGAGCTAAAAGTGCAGAGAGATTCAGGGGTAGGCTCAGGGTCTCTGAGTGACAGATCTGGAACACAGGCTGCTAGTCCTTAGCTGGGAGCTCATTCTATCAGCAGCATCTGCCCTGGAGAACTGTTCTAGGGAGAAATCACCCCTGTCTTTCTTAACTTGTTCTGGGAATTCCTGTCACCTTCAACCATGACTTTTTAAACATGCCTCCCATTCCCAACCTGCCCAAGTTTCTTGGAGGATCATGATCAAAGCTATAACAAACCTAGACAGTATATTAAAAAGCAGAGACATCACTTTGCTGACAAAGGTCCATCTAATCAAAGCTATGGTTTTCCCAGTAGTCATGTACAGATGTGAGAGTTGGATCATAAAGAAGGCTGAGTGCCAAAGAATTGATTCCTTCAAACTGTGGTGCTGGAGAAGACTCTTGAGAATCCCTTGGACAGCAAGGAAATAAAACCAGTCAATCCTAAAGGAAATCGACCCTGAATATTCATCGGAAGGACTGATGCTGAAGCTGAAGTTCCAATACTTTGGCCACTTGTTGGGAAGAGCCGACTCACTGGAAAAGACCCTGATGCTGGGACAGATTGAAGGCAGGAGGAGAAGGGGACGACAGAGGATGAGATGGTTGGATGGCATCACCGACTCAATGGACATGAGTTTGAGCAAACACCAGGAGATGGTGAAGGTCAGGGAGGCCTGACGTGCTGCAGTCCATGGGGTTGCAAAGAATCAGACACGACTGAGCGACTAAACAACAAACAAATCATGATTATGCTGAGGAGCCATCCTGTGTGTTGGATGGCCCCCAGGAGGAAAGAAAAATTGATAGGAGATCCGGGAACCCTCTTACACTGTTGGTGGGAATGCAAACTAGTACAGCCGCTATGGAAAACAGTGTGGGGATTTCTTAAAAAACTGGAAATAGGACTGCCATATGACCCAGCAATCCCACTTCTGGGCATACACACCGAGGAAACCAGATCTGAAAGAGACACGTGCACCCCAATGTTCATGGCAGCACTGTTTATAATAGCCAGGACATGGAAGCAACCTAGATGCCCATCAGCAGACGAATGGATAAGGAAGCTGTGGTACATATACACCATGGAATATTACTCAGCCATTAAAAAGAATTCATTTGAATCAGTTCTAATGAGATGGATGAAACTGGAGCCCATTATACAGAGTGAAGTAAGCCAGAAAGATAAAGACCATTACAGTATACTAACACATATATATGGAATTTAGAAAGCTGGTAATGATAACCCTATATGCAAAACAGAAAAAGAGACTCATGTATAGAACAGACTTGTGGACTCTGGGAGAAGGCGAGGGTGGGATGTTTCGAGAGAACAGCATCGAAACATGTATATTATCTAGGGTGAAACAGATCACCAGCCCAGGTTGGGTGCATGAGACAAGTGCTCGGGCCTGGTGCACTGGGAAGACCCAGAGGGATCGGGTGGAGAGGGAGGTGGGAGGGGGGACCGGGATGGGGAATACATGTAAATCCATGGGTAATTCATTTCAATGTATGACAAAAACCACTACAATATTGTAAAGTAATTAGCCTCCAACTAATAAAAAAAAAAAAGAAAAAAGAAAAATTGATGGGAGATCCAATCTTCTCTTAGCAAGGGTGCTGTGAGGAAGCAGGGGGTAGGAGGCTGGGGATACAAAAGGGAAGTGAAGTGTTAGTCACTCAGTCGTGTCTGACTCTTTGCAACCCCATGGACTGTGGCCCGCCAGGCTCCTCTGTCCATGGAATTTTTCAGGCAAGAATACTGGAGTGGTAGCCATTTCCTTCTCCAGAGGATCTTCCCAACCCAGGTCTCCCACACTGCAGGCAGATTCTTTCCCAGCTGACCCACCAGGGAAGCCCCTTCCCAAGCAAGTGCTCAGCAAAGGAGCATCCGATCATTTCTACTGTCCCGAGAGGCCGCAGGGGGGATGTGCTCAGTGGTCCTGCTTAGCCGGTGAGGAGGAGTCGCAGCAGAGGCTCGGCAGCGCCCCTTCCCGCCCATCCTTCCACCCCTCAGTGTGGACGAGGACAGCAAAGGAGCTCACGCGGCCTCCTCGTCCTGGAGGAGAGAAGGGCTGCAGGTGTGTGCGCGCATCAGCAGGCGCCGGGGTGAGAGGCCAGGCCCTGGGGAGACTGAGGTCACCTC